TTGATTGTTGTTGCTTTGGTGTTGATCATTGTTTGTGTCATTTGTGTAATAATTTATAGAAAAAAATCAAAAAATTATAATATAAGGTAACAAAATTCCATGATTATTAGTGTATGCCTTAACTTATAATAGTAGTAAAACTGATGACATTGATGCAACACCTAATGCTGGATATGGTATGATTGATATTGTCAAGGATACATCCACAGAGTAAGTAACAATACTATAATTCATGAGTGATACTTGTGTTACTATGACTGTGGTAATAGAAATGAAGATGGAGTTTATGAAAAAATGGGTGATGATCAGGTTTATGAACAATTAGATGAGCCTGATCTGCTTGTTGCAAGAGAAAGTGCTGCTGACACTAGTAGTACAACATATGAAAATACTACTACCGAGCCTATTGTTACAGGTAACACATTAATTCGATCTGTTAGTTGTTACCTATCAATCATACTTTATTCTGTTGGTTAGAGTCTGCTAGTCTTCATGAAAAAGAGAATGATGAAAATGTGTATGAACTGACTGATACTACTTCACTGTGATAATACCTATCACATACCCTTATTTGGTGTGTATGCTGAGCAGTTTTATAAATGTGCATATAATAAATTTTTATGCATCATTAGTTTAGTTTCATTTAATTAGGAATGCACATTTATTTCTAATGTAGTCTTTATGGTCTAATGATGTAACTATTTTACAAATTTTAATTTTGTTTACAATGTGTTACTCAAAAGTTTAAGTTTTATCTAGTTGAATGAGATCATATGCTCAGTAGTTTTATTTATGTTGAGTAGATCTATTACTAATAAAGCCATATTGTGATGTGAAAAAGTGGTATTCCATGCAGCTTCTTATCAGTGGATTGTCAAGTTGCTCAAAAATTGGGCTGAAAACCCTTTACTATAATTTCAACCAAGACCCTGGTCTTGGTTGAAAATGACTAGGAGAGAATTTTTAATTTTTATAATTTTGTCCTAATGCATATGCAGTTCTTATGTTCTGTAGCAAGTTTTGGCTGATTTTGACCAAAATTATTTTTTTATAAATTTTTTAAAGTTAATCAAAAATCAGGCCAAAGTCACTTCATGGCGAAATTTTGCCTTAAGTGATTAGGAGAGAGTTTTCCATTTTCATAATTTTTCTAATGCATATATGTTCCTCTGTTGCATACATGCATGGACTAGTGTAGTTCCTTGTCAGCTCATGAAACATGCTTTATCACTATAGGCAGGGAAAGTGCCATATTTGTGTAACCCATTGTGTCAGTCAGCTCAACTACAGTACACATCAGGTATGTATATGTGTACATTGAATGTATCTAAATACATTGGTTCATATATGTGTGCATACAAAACCTAGCTAATCTAGCTATGTCTCTTTACTTTCTTTGGACACATGTTATTGTTGTCCTTTTTATATCTGCAGTTATGCTAAGATGCAGTGATAATGGGACTATGTTGACATATGGCTAATTACTGTTATTTTTACTGAATTAATCATTATAGATGTTACTGTTTTACAGTTTATAGAGTTAGATTTCTTCTCGCAGGCTTAATTGTTTGCAAAATTTGCTTGGTTATAATGTTTCTATTCTTTCTCTTATCATTGGTACTTCATGTATCATGTCTAGAGTTTGGTTCACTGCCTCCTCGTCCAACTACTGGTCAGTAAATAATTTTGTAATGAATCTATCTATTGTATTCCATAGGTGTTAGATTGTTTCTTGGTGAGGAGGATATTACTATTGCTAATTTCTCAATGATAGCTGCTAGTCTGTTTCATGAAGTAGATTTAGATAGACCTGATGGTACTGCTACTAATATTCCCATTGGCCCTGATGGTCAGAATGATGGTTTGTGGTGTCAGAGTTCTCTTAATCAGAATATGATAGGAACATGGTATTATCCTGATGGAACAACTGTACCATCTGGCTCTACTGATAGTAACAATGATCCTAGTCCTCTGTTTGCTAACAACACTGCTACTGGTCAAATTGGTTTGTTAAGAAATGGAGGAATAGGAAACGTTCAAGGACTATACAGTTGCATTATACCAAATGAAGAAGGAATCAATCAGACACTGTATGTTGCTGCTTATGAGAACAATGATTTCCTTAAAGATGGCGGTAAGCATAAAATAATAAAATAATTTATTCAATTTTTCATTATACAGAACTTCCAAAGATTGATGTTAGTCGTTCCTCCTTCCAGCTCCTCTCATCAGTTGATGCTGATCCTCCAGTGTTTAGTTTATCATTTAATGTCACTAATAGATCACCAACAATAGTCACTTGCTCTGTTGATAATGGAAACCAGTTTAATGTATCTGATGATAATCTGATACATACAGTAATAACAAATACTAATAGTAATCTTGAAGTACAAGTAGTAGTAACATTTAGAATGAGAGTGTCTGGTCTGTATAAATGTTTTGTTACTACTGACAGAATTACAACTACACCTTTAAAATCTTCTAATATGGCAATAAGGAATGTTACTGGTATGTATAGATCTATACATATCAAATTGTTTTATCTACTTTTTTTTCTTTTAGTAACTGGATCTCCATCAAACTTGACCTACAGCAGAAAAAGTCTTCTCTCAGTTATGCTAGGCTGGTCTCCCTCAGCAGTGATTAGTACTACTCCTCAGTATCATGTCTTTGTTAGTAACAGTAATGGTATTATTATGAATGATGATGCTACAAATACTGAGCTGTCTCTCTCATTACGTCCTGATGATGAATATAATATTAGACTAGTAGCTACTGGTGAAGACTTACCTAGTGAAATAATCACTGTTACTGTGCCTCAAGGTAATAAATTGCAACAGTAATATGTTGTTATGATTTTTATGATGATTTATTTTTTAATTATTTTAGTTGTCAGTATTGAAGTACAAGGGCCAGTTGTGATGCCATTGGATCATTCTTCTTCCTTTTCATTAACCTGTACATTGACATTAGCTCCTCAAGTGAATGATACTATGGTAAGAATTTCCTGGACAAGTCCTGATCTCATTCCCTTCAATTCTACAACTGATGGAGACATAGTTTTAGATACTTTAGAGCCTACAATGATATCAGTTAATGATAGTGTTGTATATACACTTACTCTTAACTTCAGTTCACTGCAAGCATCACAAGTTGGAGAATATGTTTGTGGAGCTTCATTGAATGATAGTACTGATACTATTACCCTAACATCAAATTATACTATATCTGTACAAGGTAAGTAGATTTATTAATGATTCACATTAAAACTTTGTTCATACAATGTAGTACCTGCTCCTGTGGTCACATCTAGCCTAAATACAACAGGACGTATTTTTGAGAGCAATGACATTCAGTTATTATGTACCGTCACTATTACTCCACTGGATGTTAATCACACTGTTAACATTAACTGGTTTGGACCTAATGGACTCATTACAATGAATAATACTCAGTATAGCATAAGTGGTGGGATGATTAACCCAACAACTAATGGAAGTAGTCTAACATTCACTGCATCTCTATCAGATAATGGAACTGATTACTATTGTACTGCTAGTGTTGGACCTGCTAGTACTGTGAATGGGTTTGAACTGATTATACCATCAGATACTGTTACATCAAATAGTGCTACTGTCACTGTGGAAAGTAAGTCGTTATTTGTTCACTTACAGGGCACTAAATCTGTAGTAAATGTTGTATTATGTGTAAAATTGTTATGACATGTAACAAATTTTCTCTTAGTTGTACCACTACCAATGGTTAGTGTAATGGATGTTGGTATTCCAGTATCAAGAGACCCATTCCAGTTAGTGTGTACTGGAACTGCACCAGCTAATGTATCAAGTATTGCTACTGTTAGTGTTCAATGGCTTCTTAATGGTACTGTGTTTACTGATGATACACTGGAAGGAGTCACTGTTACTAATAGTGGGTCTATGGCCACATTATCATTCAGTTCTCTTAATGCTTCTACTCATGAAAGAGATGATTATACTTGTGAAGCTACTCTTAGTATTTCTGATGTACCAACAACTAAAACAGCAAGCATTATGTACAACCTCCTGACATTAAGTAAGTACATGACTGCATGTTGTATAATTTTTTCCATTTTAGCTAATCCTGTTGTTTCTCTATTTGCAAGTCAGCCTGTGTTTGCTGGTCAAGTGTATTCATTAAACTGTACTGTCACAATAGTAGCTGGAGTCCTCAATATAACATGGTTTAATAGCAGAGGAGCTGGATTAATAGAAGGAAATGGAATAAGTTTCAATTTGGTGACTGTTTCTGACACTGTACAAAGATATGATTTGATATTTAATTCACTTGAATATTCAGATATTGGAGTATATACTTGTCAAGCTAGGCTTACTGTTGATAGAGATGGTATTCTGTTTAATGGAACTGGATCTGCTAATATAACTGTTAGCATAAGAGGTTAGTTAAAATGTACAATTTCACCTTTATTTGTTCATGCACAGTACCTTTACCACAAGTATCTATATCCCCTGTTGATGATTCTCCTTTTATTCGTGGAACTGTTAGAACTGTTAGCTGTTCTGTTGTTTTCACTCCTCCTTTACCTACTAATCCTAATGTCTCATTTACTGTCTTCAAAAATAATGAAGAAGTATTGTTTATGAACTTTTCCAGACTATTAGCAGTTCAGACTTCAACTACTGGTGCTCTTACCTTTCAACCACTTAATTTCTCTGATG